ATCAGGCAATTCATTATATGCAATGAGGCTTTTTTTTTTTTTTTTTTTTTTTCTCTATTTATACATAAATTTTTGTGAAATTTCGAATTTTTTTTTATTAAATATTAATTTATTAAATAATTAAAATTAGTAAATTAATTAATATTGAAGGATATTAATTTTGATAATTTTTTTTTTTTTATGGATAATTTAAGTATATTATTTAATTTAAATAATTAAATTTTGCATATATATATATATATAGATTTATCTATATAACAATTTAAATAATATATAAATTTATTACACTATTAGAAAGCTATATATTAATAAATTATTTCATAATAAATACTATATTTAGCCAATTATTTAATAATATATAAATTAGACTAAATTTCAGATTCTGCATCGCTCAATATAAAATGAGACACCTAAAATAATATAAATTTAATCTTTTTAAAAAGATTAAAATTATATTATATTTAATTTTTACATAGAAAATTAACTTTAAAAATTTCGAAATTTTTCAAAAATTTAAAAAAAAAAAAAAAAAAAATCCAGGATTTTTTTGAAAATTTCGAAATTTTTTCAAAAATTTTCAAAAATTTTAAAATTTTTTTTAAAAAATTTCAAAAATTTTCAAAAATTTTAAAATTTTTTTTAAAAAATTTTTAAAAAATTTTTTTTTAAAATTGATATTTTTTATTGAAAAATTTAAATTAATTTAATTTTTATATAAATAATTATTGGCTATACAATTTTTAATTATTTAGTTTGTAAATATATTATATTTACAATTAATATTAATTTTTTAAAATTTATAATAAATATAAGTTGTTATATTTAAATATAATTGGTAACTTTATATGTAAAAATTAACATATAATATCATTTATTAAGAATTTTAATTTTTGTATTAGGGGTACAATAATTATTATTCATTATTTATATATTAATAATTAATTTTAATTTATTTTTTGATTTTATATTAGGGGATATAAAATTAATTGAATAAATATTTTAGATTAAATTTTAATTTAAGGAAATAAAATGTGAGCAATTACCAATTTTAATTTATTTAATTATTAATATATTAATATTTTCTAATTTTAATTATTTAAATAATTTATTTTTAATTAGTATTTTCAAAAATTTTCAAAAAATTTAAGTATAAAGTTTTATTTTAGCTTATAAATTTATTATTAGTTTAATTTATATGTAAATTTTTGTATGAATTTTTATTTATTTAAATAATAAATAAATTACTTTATATTCGCAGTAATTAGTATTATTAATTAGAGAAATCTAGAAATAGTAATATTAAAGAGTATTGGCTAAATTTGTGCCAGCAGCCGCGGTTACACGAATAATGCAAATAAATTTTGTCAGTTAAAGTTAAATTGTTTTATTGAAAATAAAATATAATTTATTAGGTGAAATTTTTAAATTATTAATTATTTTATTATAAATTAATTGAAGCTTGAAAATTTTAATAATAAACTAGGATTAGATACCCTATTATTTAGAATGTAGGTAAAAAATATCTGAGTAGTAATAGTTATGTTCTTGAAACTTAAAAAATTTGGCGGTATTTTAATCTATTCAGAGGAACCTGTTCTATAATCGATAATCCACGAGGACTTTACTTAAATTTGTTTAGTTTATATACCGTCGTTATTAGAATATTTTATAAGAATGTTAATTTTCAAAATTTTTAAAAAGAAAATATATCAGATCAAGGTGTAGCTTATATTTAAGTAGAAATGGGTTACAATAAATTTATTTAAACGAATATAAATTTGAAATGTTTACTGAAGGTGGATTTGAAAGTAAAATTATGTATATAGTTAATTTGACTTTGGCTCTAAAATATGTACACATCGCCCGTCGCTCTTATTACTTTATTTATAATATAAAATAAGATAAGTCGTAACATAGTAGAATTACTGGAAAGTGATTCTAGAATGACAATTTAAAGCTTATTAAGTAAAGCATTTCTTTTACATTGAAAAGATTATTGTGCAAATCAATATAAATTGATTAGATTTTATTTATTGATTTTATTTGTTTTTTATCTATTTTATTAAAAATAATTATAAAATGATTAGTTTTAGTATTTTATAAAGAAAAAATAATTTTAATTATAGTGAATTAGTATTGTGAAAGAAAATTGAAATAATTTGAAAAATTATTATTTTAAAAGAAAATTTAATTTATTGTACCTTGTGTATCAGGGTTTATCAAATAAAAATTAAAAATTTAATTTTCTCGATTTTAAAAGAGTTAATATATTATAAAAGTTAATGTGACAAAATTATTTTTAATAATATATTAGAAATGAAATGTTATTCGTTTTTAAAGGTATCTAGTTCTTTAAGAAATAAATTTAATTTAGAAATTTTATATTATTTAATTAGTTAAATTAATTAAATAAATATTTAATTTTAATATTTTATGGGATAAGCTGTAAAATAAATTATTAAAAATATTTAAATAAAATAATAAATATAGATTTAGAAATAGTTATTATTAGCAAAAGTGTTATAATTTATTTTATAATTTAAATTATTTATTTAAATTTTAATTTTTTATTAAAGTATTCATTTTAATTTTAAAAATTAAGTAATAATGATAAAATTAGTATATTATTAATGTATAAATAAATTTATGTGAAAAGTTTTTATAAAGAACTCGGCAAAATTAATGTTCGCCTGTTTAACAAAAACATGTCTTTTTGAATTATTTAAAAAGTCTAACCTGCCCACTGAATAATTTTTTAAATGGCCGCAGTATATTAACTGTGCAAAGGTAGCATAATCATTAGTCTTTTAATTGAAGGCTTGTATGAATGGCTGAACGAGATATTAACTGTTTCAATTTAAATTTTAGAATTTTATTTTTTAGTCAAAAAGCTAAAATATAATTGAAAGACGAGAAGACCCTATAGATCTTTATATTTAGGTAATTATAATTTTTAGGATTTTTTTTGTTATGATTGCTAATAATATTTTATTGGGGTGATAATAAGATTTAATAAACTCTTATATAAATTAAACATAAATTAATGAATAATTGATCCATTAGTAATGATTAGTAATTTAAGTTACCTTAGGGATAACAGCGTAATTTTTTTAGAGAGTTCTTATCGATAAAAAGGATTGCGACCTCGATGTTGGATTAAGAGATAGGGTTGGGTGTAGCAGTTCAACTTTAAAGTCTGTTCGACTTTTAAATTCTTACATGATCTGAGTTCAAACCGGCGTGAGCCAGGTTGGTTTCTATCTTTAGTAAATTAAAATATTTTAGTACGAAAGGACCAAATATTTGATAAATTATTATTTTTAATATTGAATATAATTAATTTTACTATTTTGGCAGATTAGTGCAATAAATTTAGAATTTATGTATGTAATTTATATTACAAATAGTACGTGTTTTATTTAGAAAATTTATTATTTATTATTGGTAGATTGTTATTAGTAATTTGTGTATTAGTAAGAGTTGCATTTTTAACACTTTTAGAACGAAAAGTATTAGGATATATTCAAATTCGTAAGGGTCCTAATAAGGTTGGAATTATAGGAATTCCTCAACCTTTTTGTGATGCAATTAAATTATTTACTAAGGAACAAACTTATCCTTTATTATCAAATTATATTCCTTATTATTTTTCTCCTGTTTTTTCATTATTTTTATCTTTATTAGTATGAATGTGTATACCTTTATTTATTAAATTATTTTCTTTTAATTTAGGTTTATTGTTTTTTTATGTTGTACAAGTTTAGGTGTTTATACAGTAATAATTGCTGGTTGATCTTCTAATTCTAATTATGCTTTATTAGGGGGGTTACGGGCTGTTGCTCAAACAATTTCTTATGAAGTTAGTTTAGCATTAGTTTTATTAAGTTTTGTATTTTTAATTGGAGGTTATAATATATTAATATTTTATAAGTATCAATTATTTATTTGATTTTTATTTTTAATATTTCCTATAGCATTAGTTTGATTTAGAATTTCATTAGCAGAAACAAATCGAACTCCTTTTGATTTTGCTGAAGGAGAGTCTGAATTAGTTTCAGGGTTTAATGTAGAATATAGAAGTGGTGGATTTGCTTTAATTTTTTTAGCAGAATATGCAAGTATTTTATTTATAAGTATATTATTTTGTGTAATATTTTTAGGGTGTGATGTATTTTCTTTTTCTTTTTATTTAAAGTTAACTTTTGTTTCTTTTATATTTATTTGAGTACGAGGAACTTTACCTCGATTTCGATATGATAAATTAATATATTTAGCTTGAAAGAGTTTTTTACCTTTTTCGTTAAATTTTTTATTATTTTTTGTAGGGTTTAAAATTTTTTTACTTTATTTATTATAGTGAATTAAATTTAGTATTTAAAGTTAATAGAAAATTAAATTTCTATCTTATGTTTTCAAAACATATGCTTAATTCAAGCTCATTAACTAATTTAATAAATTATCTCATCATTTTGTTACTAGTGGATTAAATAAAAAGTATGAAAAATAAACTACTGTTAAAATTTGTCCTACTAAAACATAAGGTGCTTCTACAGGTCGAGCTCCAATTCAGGTTAATAAAATTACTGTAATAGTCATGAATCAAAATAGAATTTGATTAATTGGATAAAATTGGATTCCACGAAATTTTCTGAGATGATAAAATGGTAAAATAAAAAGAATTGCAATTGATATAACTAGGGCAATTACTCCTCCCAATTTATTGGGGATGGATCGCAGGATTGCGTAAGCAAACAAGAAGTATCATTCAGGTTGAATATGAACGGGTGTAACAAGTGGATTTGCGGGGATAAAATTATCGGGGTCTCCTAATAAGTAAGGATTAATTAATACTAATAAAATTAAAATTATTGTTATAATAATAAATCCAACAATATCCTTATAAGTAAAATATGGATGGAATGGAATTTTATCAATATTAGAATTTAACCCAATAGGATTATTAGATCCTGTTTCATGTAAAAATAATAAATGAATTATTGTTATAGCTAATACAATAAATGGTAAAATAAAATGGAATGTGAAGAATCGTGTTAATGTAGCATTATCAACAGCAAATCCACCTCATACCCATTGTACTAAATCAATTCCTAAATAAGGAATAGCAGATAATAAATTAGTAATAACAGTAGCTCCTCAAAAAGATATTTGTCCTCATGGAAGTACGTAACCTATAAAAGCAGTTCCTATTACTAAAAATAAAATTAAAACTCCTACTAGTCATGTAGGTGTATATAAATATGAACCATAGTAGATTCCTCGTCCTACATGTAAATAAATGCAAATAAAGAAAAATGATGCACCATTAGCGTGTAGAGTTCGTAATAATCAACCATAGTTTACATCTCGACAGATATGGTTTACTCTATTAAAAGCTAAATTAATATCTGCTGTATAATGTATTGCAAGGAATAGTCCTGTTAAAATTTGAATAATTAAACATAGACCTAATAATGATCCAAAATTTCATCAAGATGAAATATTTCTTGGAGCAGGTAGATCTACTAATGCATTGTTTGCGATACTTAAAATTGGATGTTTAACTCGTAAAGGTTTGTTCATTAGTTAATTAAATATAGGTCGTAAAGGACCCTTAAATAAATTAGTGATTTTAACTACAGCAATTAATGTAATTAATAAGTAATTTATTAATAAAATTGTTAATAGATTTGTAGGATAATTATATAATTTATTTAAAGATAAAGAGTTTTCTATTATATATGATTTAAATTAGAAATTGATTGAACTTCTAAATTAGTATATTGTAATAAAATACTTTTGTCAATAAAATATAATGAAATAATTATAATAAAAAAAATTGTAATTGATGAAATTAAAAGTTTTACTGAAAATGTAAATATTTCATTTGAAGCTAATGAAGTTACATAAATGAATAAAACTAATATACCTCCTAAAAATACTAAAAATAAAATATAAGAAAATCAAAATGTTTTAGTTATTAACCCTGAAATTATAGAAACTAAAATAGTTTGAATAAGTAAGGTTAATCCTATAGCTAGCGGATGTTTTATATTTATAAAAATAAAATTAAAAATAAATAAAAGAGTTATTAAAATTCATTGTATAATATCAAGAAATAGTTTAAGTAAAATATTAATTTTGGGGATTAATGATAAAGAATTTCTTTTTTCTTGAAGTTTTAAAAGAATTAATCTTATTTTTGGTTTACAAGACCAATGTTTTTGTTAAACTATTAAAACTAATGTTAATAAATTTAAATTGATGTTTACCTAGAATTTTATTTATTATAGGAATTTTTACTTTTGTATCAAATCGAAAGCATTTATTATCTATATTATTAAGATTAGAATATATTGTTTTAAGATTATTTCTTTTATTATTTGTATATTTAAATATATATAATTATGAAAATTTTTTTAGAATGATATTTTTAACTTTTAGAGTTTGTGAAGGGGCTTTAGGTCTTTCAATTTTAGTTTCAATAATTCGTACACATGGAAATGATTATTTTCAAAGATTTAATATTTTACAATGTTAAAAATTATTTTTATAGTTTTATTTTTATTTCCATTATGTTTTATTAAAAATTCTTATTGAATGGTTCAAAGTTTTTTATTTTTAATTTCTTTTGTTTTTATCTTAATAAATATATATTCTAATTATTTTATATCAATTTCTTATATATTTGGTTCAGATATAATTTCTTATGGATTAATTTTATTAAGATTATGAATTGTTTCTTTAATATTAATGGCTAGTGAGTCTGTTTTTAAGTATAATAATTATACTAATTTATTTTTATTTAATATTATTTTATTATTATTAATATTAGTTTTAACATTTAGTAGTATAAGTTTATTTATATTTTATTTATTTTTTGAAAGTAGTTTAATTCCTACATTATTTTTAATTTTAGGTTGAGGTTATCAACCTGAACGTTTACAAGCTGGAGTTTATTTATTATTTTATACTTTATTAGTTTCTTTACCAATATTAATTGGAATTTTTTATTTATATAAGGTTACTAATACAATGAATTTTTATTTATTAAATAATTATATATTTAATTATGAAATTTTATATTTTTCTTTAGTAATAGCATTTTTAGTAAAAATACCTATATATTTTGTTCATTTATGATTACCAAAAGCTCATGTTGAGGCTCCAGTTTCTGGTTCTATAATTTTAGCTGGTATTATATTAAAGTTAGGAGGATATGGATTATTGCGAGTATTTCCTTTTTTACAATTATTAGGTTTAAAATTTAATTTTATTTGAATTAGAATTAGATTAGTAGGAGGAGTATTAGTAAGTTTGACATGTTTATGTCAAACTGATCTTAAGGCATTAATTGCTTATTCTTCAGTTGCTCATATAGGAATTGTATTAGCAGGATTAATAACTATAACATATATAGGAATATGTGGTTCTTATACTTTAATAATTGCTCACGGATTATGTTCTTCTGGATTGTTTTGTTTAGCTAATATTTCTTATGAACGGTTAGGTAGACGAAGTTTATTGATTAATAAGGGGTTATTAAATTTTATACCTTCTATGGCTTTATGATGATTTTTACTAAGATCAGCAAATATAGCAGCTCCTCCAACTTTAAATTTATTAGGAGAAATTTCTTTAATTAATAGAATTGTTAGTTGATCTTGAGTTACTATGTTAATATTATCGTTATTGTCTTTTTTTAGAGCTGCTTATACATTATATTTATATGCTTATAGACAACACGGTAAGTTATTTTCTGGAGTTTATTCTTTTAGTGGAGGAAAAATTCGTGAATATTTACTATTATTTTTACATTGATTCCCGTTAAATTTATTAATTTTAAAGGGAGATATATGTATATTATGATTATATTTAAATAGTTTAAAAAAAATATTGATTTGTGGTGTCAATGATAAGATTATTATCTTTTTAAATCGTGAAATATTTATCAATTTGTTCAATTAGATTCGTTAGTTTATTTTTTTGTAGTCTTTTATCATTTACTATAGGATTAATTTTTATTATAAATGATTATACAATTTTTATTGAATGAGAAGTTGTTTCAATAAATTCTTTAATAATTGTAATGACAATTTTATTAGATTGAATAAGTTTAATTTTTATATCTTTTGTATTAATAATTTCTTCTTTAGTAATTTATTATAGAAAGGAATATATAGAAAGTGATTATAAAATTAATCGATTTATTATATTAGTATTAATATTTGTTACTTCAATAATATTACTAATTATTAGTCCAAATTTAATTAGAATTTTATTAGGATGAGATGGATTAGGATTAGTTTCATATTGTTTAGTAATTTATTTTCAAAATATCAAGTCTTATAATGCTGGAATATTAACTGCCTTATCAAATCGAATTGGTGATGTGGCTTTATTATTAGCAATTGCTTGAATATTAAATTATGGAAGTTGAAATTATATTTTTTATTTAGATGTTATACGATCTGATAATGAAATAATAATTGTTGGTATATTAGTAATATTAGCTGCTATAACAAAGAGTGCTCAGATTCCATTTTCTTCTTGGTTACCTGCTGCTATAGCTGCTCCCACACCAGTTTCTGCTTTAGTTCATTCTTCAACTTTAGTTACAGCTGGGGTTTATTTATTAATTCGATTTAATATTGTTTTAAGTACAAGTTGAATGGGTAATTTATTATTATTATTATCAGGTTTAACAATGTTTATAGCTGGATTAGGAGCTAATTATGAATTTGATTTAAAGAAGATTATTGCTTTATCAACTTTGAGTCAGTTAGGGTTAATAATAAGTATTTTATCAATAGGATATTATAAATTAGCCTTTTTTCATTTATTAACGCATGCTTTATTTAAGGCTTTATTATTTATGTGTGCTGGAGCTATTATTCATAATATGAATAATAATCAAGATATTCGTTTAATAGGAAGATTAAGTTTAATAATACCTTTAACTTCTTCTTGTTTTAATGTTGCAAATTTAGCTTTATGTGGAATACCATTTTTAGCTGGATTTTATTCAAAGGATCTAATTTTAGAAATAGTATCTTTTTCTTACATTAATTTATTTTCTTTCTTTTTATATTTTTTTTCTACAGGTTTAACTGTATGTTATTCTTTTCGATTAGTTTATTATACAATAACTGGGGATTCTAATTTTTCTTCTTTAAATATATTAAATGATGAAGGTTGAGTAATATTAAAGAGTATGATAGGTTTATTAATTTTAAGAATTGTAGGTAGTATATTAAGTTGATTAATTTTTCCTACTCCAGAAGTTATTATTTTACCTTTAAATTTAAAGTTATTAACATTATTTGTATGTATTGTAGGAGGATTAATGGGTTATATAATTTCTAATGTTTCATTATTTTTTATGAATAAGGCTTTAATGAATTATAATAGTTCATATTTTTTAGGTTCAATATGATTTATGCCTTATATCTCTACTTATGGTATTATTAATTATCCATTAGTATTAGGAAAGATAAGTATTAAGTCTTTTGATCAAGGTTGATCAGAATATTTTGGTGGGCAACAACTTTATTATAATTTAATTAAGAATTCTCAATTAAATCAAATATTACAAAATAATAATTTAAAGATTTATTTATTAAGTTTTGTATTTTGAGTTGTAATTTTATTTATATATATAATTTGTTTTTATTCAAATAGCTTATATTTAGAGTATGACACTGAAGATGTTAGGGAGATTAATTAATCTTTGAATATACTGAATTAATTTTAGTAATTTATAAAATAAAATTATTTAATTTTACAATGAAAATGTAATGTTTTTATTAAACTATATAAATAGAAGTATAAATGGAATTTAACCATTAAAAGAAAAAAGTTAGCAGCTTTTACTTGAACATCATACTTCCTTAATTGGAGTTTAAAACTCAATTCTATCATTAACAGTGATAAGCCTCTTTTTGGCTTCAATTAAAGAATAAGGGTAATTTTACCTAAGATTAGGTCGAAACTAATTGCAATATATCGCTTCATATTCAAGGTAGATTGAAAAATCAATACTTTTTGAATGCAAATCAAATGTTATAATTAACTACAACCCTATTAATTTGATCAATTTAATATACCTTGATTTCATTCATGATAAAGTCCTAATAATAGAATTAAAATAAAAATAATTGATGTAATTGTTCAACATATAATATTAGAAAAATTAATGATTAAAATAATTGGAAAAATTAATGCAATTTCAACATCAAAAATTAAAAAAATAATAGTGATTAAAAAAAATCGAAGAGAAAAAGGTAATCGGGAAGAAGATTTTGGATCAAATCCACATTCGAATGGTGATGCTTTTTCTCGATCTACAATTGTTTTTTTAGATAGAATTGAAGCTAATAGTATTACTACTAAAGAAATTAATAAAAGGATTGAGCTGATTGTTAAAATTGAAAAAATTATCTATACTATTAATAATAGACCATATGATTGGAAGTCAAATATACTTTTTATACTATATAGATAGTAATTTATCCTCCTCATCAGTAAATTGATACATAAAGGAATAATCAAACAATATCAACAAAGTGTCAATATCAAGCAGCAGCTTCAAATCCAAAGTGGTGATTCTTTGAAAAATGATTATTTAAGTGTCGTCCTAAACAAACAATTAAAAAAGTTGTTCCAATTAATACATGAAGACCATGAAATCCTGTTGCTATAAAAAAAGTAGAACCGTAAACTGAGTCAGCAATTGTGAATGGAGCTTCAATATATTCGTATGCTTGAAGAATAGTAAAATAAATTCCTAATAGTACTGTAAAAAATAAACCTTGAGTAGTTTGAGAATGATTGCCTTCCATTAAACTATGATGAGCTCAAGTTACAGTAATTCCTGAAGTTAGTAAAATTACAGTATTTAATAAAGGAATTTGGAATGGGTTAAAAGGAGTAATTCCTAAAGGTGGTCATATAGCTCCTAATTCAATTGAAGGAGATAAACTTCTATGGAAGAATGCTCAAAAAAATGAAACAAAAAATAAAACTTCTGAAAGAATAAATAAAATTATTCCTCATCGTAAACCTGTAGTTACAGAAAGAGTATGAAGACCTTGATATGTTCCTTCTCGAGAAACATCTCGTCATCATTGGTAAACAGTTAAAATTGTAATTAGATTTCCTAATAAAAATAATGAATTATCATATTGATGAAATCACTTTACTATACCAGCTACTGTTGTTATAGCACCAATTGATGCAGTTAATGGTCATGGGCTATAATCTACTAAATGAAATGGGTGATTTGAGTGAGTTGACATTAGTTTACTTCTCTAGAATATAATGTTCTAAGAACAGCAAATACATAAGATTGAATTATAGCAACAGCTGATTCTAGAACTAATAAAGCAATTTGAGTAATAATTAGGAAACTAATTAGTACTATAGATAGGGAAGGTCCAGTATTTCCTAAAAGTGTTAATAATAAATGCCCTGCAATTATATTAGCTGTTAATCGAACAGCTAAAGTTCCTGGTCGAATAATATTACTAATAGTTTCAATGCATACTATAAATGGTATTAAAATAGCTGGAGTACCTTGAGGTACTAAATGGGCAAATATATGTTGAGTATTATTAATTCATCCATATAGTATGAAACATAATCATAGAGGAAGAGCTAATGTTAATGTTAATGTTAAGTGACTTGTACTAGTAAAAATATAAGGAAATAAACCTATAAAATTATTAAATAAAATTATAGAGAATAAAGAAATAAAAATAAATGTAGATCCATTAGCTCCTATAGGACCAAGTAGTGTCTTGAATTCCTTATGAAGAGTTAATAAAATATTATTTCAAAAAATATGATATCGAGATGGTATTAATCAGTATATAGATGGAATTATTAAAATTCCTAAAAAAGTACTTAATCAATTAAGAGATAAATTAAAAATACTTGATGAAGGGTCGAATACAGAGAATAAATTTGTTATCATTTTCAGTTTAATGACTTTGTTGAATGAGTTTTATTACTTAAATTTGATTTAGGTATTGAAGGAATATATGAATAGTAATTTATTACATTAAAAATTACAAAAGTAATTGAAAAAATAATAAATAAACTTAATCAGCCAATAGGTGCTATTTGAGGGATTAAAAAATATTAATAAATTAATAATTTTAGTTTGACAAACTAATGTTATACATTTTAACTAATTTTTTCATTAGAAGTAGGTGCTAATTTACTATAAAATGGTTTAAGAGACCAGTACTTGCTTTCAGTCATCTAATGAAGAATTATTCTTAGAAATTCATTTAATAAAATAATTTACAGGAATACTTTCAATAACAATTGGTATAAAACTATGATTTGCTCCACAAATTTCTGAACATTGACCATAAAATAATCCAGGTCGATTAATTAAAAAATTAGTTTGGTTTAATCGTCCAGGTGTTCCATCAACCTTAACTCCTAAAGCTGGAACAGTTCATGAATGAATTACATCAGCTGCAGTTACTAAAATTCGAATTTGAGAATTTATAGGAAGAACTACTCGGTTATCTACATCTAATAAACGGAATCCGTCTACTGGTAATTCGTTTGTAGGAATTATGTAAGAATCAAATTCTACATTATTGAAGTCTGAATATTCATAACTTCAATATCATTGGTGTCCAATAGCCTTTAAAGTTACTGAAGGTTCATTAATTTCATCTAATAAGTATAAAAGTCGTAAAGAAGGGAAAGCAATAAATAATAAAATAATAGCAGGTAAAATAGTTCAAATAATTTCAATAGTTTGTCCGTGTAATAAGTATCGATTTACATATTTGTTAAAAAATAAAGTAAATATTAAATAACCAACTAAAACAGTAATTATCACTAAAATTATTAATGCGTGATCATGAAAAAAAATTAATTGTTCTATTAATGGGGAAGAACTATCTTGTAAACCTAAATTTGCTCATGTTGACATTAGTTTTCTAATAAAAGTAAAATACTTTATATATGGAGCTTAAATCCATTGCACTAATCTGCCATATTAGAAATTAACTAATAAAGGCAATTCATTATATCTGTGTTCAGCAGGTGGAGTATTTTGTAATCATTCAATTGATGAATTTAATTGAATTGGGAAGATTACTTGTCGTTGTGATACTAAACTTTCTCAGATAATATAGAATAAATATAAAATTCCTAATAATGAAATTGTTGATCCAATAGTTGAAATTACATTTCAGGCTGTGTAAGCGTCTGGATAGTCAGAGTATCGCCGTGGTATACCTGCTAATCCTAGGAAATGTTGGGGGAAGAAAGTTAAATTTACTCCGATAAATATAATAAAAAATTGAATTTTTAATATATAAGGATTTAAAGATAATCCAGTAAATAATGGATATCAGTGAATAAATCCACCTAAAATAGCAAATACAGCTCCTATTGATAAAACATAGTGGAAATGAGCAACTACATAGTAAGTATCATGTAAAGTAATATCAATAGAAGAATTAGATAAAATTACACCTGTTAATCCCCCTACAGTAAATAAAAATACAAATCCTAATCTTCATAAAATAGATGGGGAATAATTGATTTGAGTTCCATGGAAAGTAGCTAATCAACTAAAAATTTTAATACCTGTTGGTACAGCAATAATTATTGTTGCAGATGTAAAATATGCTCGTGTATCAATATCTATTCCTACAGTAAATATATGATGAGCTCAAACAATAAATCCTAATAAACCAATTGCTAATATAGCTAAATCATTCCTAAAGAACCGAATGTTTCCTTCTTTCCTGATTCTTGACTAATAATATGGGAGATTATCCCAAATCCGGGTAAAATTAAGATATAAACTTCTGGGTGTCCAAAGAATCAAAATAAATGTTGATAAAGAATGGGGTCACCTCCCCCGGCTGGGTCGAAGAATGAAGTATTTAAATTTCGATCTGTTAGTAATATAGTAATAGCTCCAGCTAAAACAGGTAAAGATAAAAGAAGAAGTACTGCCGTAATTACCACTGATCAAACAAATAGAGGCATTCGATCAAATGTAATTCCTGTCGATCGTATATTGATTACTGTAGTAATAAAATTTACGGCTCCTAAAATTGAAGAAATCCCGGCTAAATGAAGGGAAAAAATAGCTAGATCAACTGAAGCCCCTCTATGGGCAATAATTGAAGATAAAGGTGGGTAAACAGTTCATCCTGTACCAGCTCCCTTTTCTACTATACTTCTTACTAATAATAGAGTTAAAGGAGGTAAAAGTCAAAAACTTATATTATTTATACGTGGGAAAGCTATATCAGGAGCTCCTAATATTAAAGGTACAAGTCAATTTCCAAATCCTCCAATTATAATTGGTATAACTATAAAGAAAATTATAATAAAAGCATGGGCAGTAACAATTACGTTATAAATTTGGTCATCTCCAATTAAAGCTCCTGGGTGACCTAATTCGGCTCGAATAAGGATTCTTAAAGAAGTTCCTACTATACCAGCTCAGGCCCCAAAGATAAAATATAAAGTACCAATATCTTTGTGATTAGTAGAAAATAACCATTGTTGCGATTAAATGGCTGAAGTTTAGGCAATAGATTGTAAATTTATTTATGAGAATTATTCTCTTTAATCAATTAGCTTTATAGTCAATAATGACATTAGACTGCAATTCTAAAGGAGTAATAAATTTACTAAGGCTTAAAAGATTATTCTTATATTGATAGCTTTGAAGGCTATTAGTTTATTTAACTTAAAGCCTTAAAAAAAGAAATATAAGGAAGAAGTTAAAAACAGCCCGAAAGTTGAAATATAAGAAAAAATTAATAAAAGCTTTATATTTGATGATTTATAATATGAAAATGTTATTCAATTATTTTCATAATAATTTAATATGAAAGCACTATAACATAATCGTATATAAAAATATAAAGTAATTAAAGTCATTATTACTAAAAAAGTCAATAAAAATAATTGGTTATTTATAGTTAGTGACTGGATTACAAATATTTTTGGAAGGAATCCTAAAAATGGAGGTAATCCACCTAATGAAAGAAGATTAAAGAATAAGAAAAATTTAATACTTTTTTCATGGAAAAATAATGAAAATAATTGATTAATATAAGAAATTTTAAATATATTAAATATGAATACTATAGAAAAAGTTAAAAAAGTATAAAATAAAAAATATACTAATCAAATATTTCTATTGTATATAGCTGCTAACATTCATCCTAAATGATTAATTGAAGAATAAGCTATTAATTTACGTAAAGAGGTTTGATTTAATCCTCCTAATGCACCAATTAAACTTGATAAAATAATTCTAATAATAATTAATGGCTTAAAAATAACATAAGAAATTAATATTAATGGAGCAATTTTTTGTCAAGTTATTAAAATTAATGCATTAATTCATGATAATCCTTCTATTACATTAGGAAATCAAAAATGGAAAGGAGCTGATCCTCTTTTTAATAATAAAGAAGAAAAAATAATTATTTCTATTAAATAGTCAGAATTTCTTTTTCCTGTATTTAGTAAAAACAAAATTACTGCAAATAAAAAAACGGAAGAAGCTAATGCTTGGGTTAAAAAGTACTTTAAAGATGCTTCTGTAGATATTAATTTATTATCTCTTATTAGGGGGATAAAAGCTAACAAATTAATTTCTAAACCTATTCAGGCTCCTATTCAAGAGTTTGCTGAGATAGCAATTAAAGTTCCTATTATTAAAATAGCTAAAAATATAATTTTTGATGAATTATTAAAAATTAAAAAGAAAAGGATTAGAACCTTTATAAATGGGGTATGAGCCCAGTAGCTTAATTAGCTTATCTTTTTATTAGATATATTTTAGTGTACGAGGCACAAAAGTTTTTGATACTTTTAGGAACAGTTTAATTCTGTTAAATATAATAATGAATGTAATATTGATTACATAATTTACCCTATCAAGGTAACCCTTTTATCAGGCAATTCATTATATGCAATGAGGCTTTTCTTTTTTTTTTTTTTTTTTTTTTTTCTCTATTTATACATAAATTTTTGTGAAATTTCGAATTTTTTTTTATTAAATATTAATTTATTAAATAATTAAAATTAGTAAATTAATTAATATTGAAGGATATTAATTTTGATAATTTTTTTTTTTTATGGATAATTTAAGTATATTATTTAATTTAAATAATTAAATTTTGCATATATATATATATATAGATTTATCTATATAACAATTTAAATAATATATAAATTTATTACACTATTAGAAAGCTATATATTAATAAATTATTTCATAATAAATACTATATTTAGCCAATTATTTAATAATATATAAATTATTTATATATATGTTAATTATATATTAGACAATAGATTAAAAGAATGTTAGATAAATAGATGGACAATAAAGATTAATCGAACTATTATGATTAATTGAATTGTTGTAAAATTTTTTTTTGCTCTGGATTAATAGATAAATATTGATTAATTAAATATTTATATATTAATATTTATCTATATATAAATTGGTATATAGACTAAATTTCAGATTCTGCATCGCTCAATATAAAATGAGACACCTAAAATAATATAAATTTAATCTTTTTAAAAAGATTAAAATTATATTATATTTAATTTTTTTATTATTGGCTATACAATTTTTAATTATTTAGTTTGTAAATATATTATATTTACAATTAATATTAATTTTTTAAAATTTATA